GGAAAAAGTTTGAGAAGCATTATGCCAGGACAAAGGACCACTCTGCCTGTCAAAGGTGATCAGCGTTAAGTCTCAAACCCAGAACAAATGGCTGAGGTGCCTGTTTTTAACACATATACTGGACCTGGCATCCAGGTTCTCCCAGCATTGTTCAGTCCCTACCTGTTACAGGGTACGGTTGGCGTGGCCCACTCTCTACCCTGAACTCTCCAGCCCAGAGGCTGGGCTGCCCTTCCCCCACAGGCTCTTCCCTATAGAATTCAGACATTCTGTTTGCCCACCCCTTTTCTACCTTTGGCCTCCTGGCTGCTACCCCTATTTCCCTTCTCTCCCCTTTCTGTTGCTCTCTCCCTATCACCACATAGCCCAGCTCAGCCTGGTCATATCCACTCTGGACTTTCCCAGATATTCCTGCCTCTGACCACATATCTACAATAAACTCTCACCTCCATATGCCTGGGAGCAGTCATGTTCCTTTCCTTTCCCTTCCCTTCCCTTCCCTTCCCTTCCCTTCCCTTCCCTTCCCTTCCCTTTCCTTTCCTTTTTCTTTCTTCTTCCCTCCTCCTCTCCTTCCTTCTCCTCCTCCTCCTCCTCCTCTTCTATTCAATCAGGAGTTTTCCAGGTAAAGCAGCGTGATGTATAAAATCATAACTGTACTTAACCTTTTGTATCTGACCACAATTCTTTTCTTCTGCTAAAATACAGCCACCCAAAAACATACAGGAAATTTCTTGGGCATGTTAAGAACCACCGAAACTCTTTTGCCCACATTCCAGAACCACGTTCCTTGGAGCTCCCCCTTCCCTCAACCCCTACCCCATCTTCAATGACTCGGCACCAATGGCCCTGGCACTGCCTTATTTTCCCCAGGGTATGGCATGCTCCATACCCCCTATAACGCCATCATGGCTTGGACTGTTGCTGATCCCATCCCTGCTCAGAGGCAGTCCCCCTCCCCCAATAAATCTCTTGAGTGAGGTTTGTGGCATGGTGTGATTTTTGTGGTGTTCCTTGCCCCCACCCCACACCCATAGCCAAGATACTCTTTCACTACAAAACCCTTTCAAAAAGGTTCTTATTTTCCCATTACAAAAAGTGCTGAGATTAATTCAGTCTGGCCAGGACTTCCTGAAATAAATGAAGCAATGTGTAAGGCTACAGAGAACATGCATGAAGCAAATCTGCAACCAACTATCTCCATTCAAAACTATTAGGGAACATTTAGGATGTGAGGTCAATCTGGCTGTGGCATATGCCGTCTCATGAATTGCCAGGGTTAATTTGGCTGACCTAGCTAGCTAGACTGGTGTCCTCTCTCTCCCTTACCATACTTTGTGCATCCCTCCTGAGGCTGCATGCTCAGTCAAAGAGAACAACCTTCCCCCAACTAGAGAAAGACCCGTCTTCAGTCAATAATATACTAGTTCCCCTAACAGAACTTCAAACAAGCTTTCAAGGGACTACTTAAGTGGGACCAGTAAGAATGAAAGAACTTCAGTACATGGTAACTCAATTCAAATGCTTACACCAAGAGATTGGACCAAACTAATCCAGCCTTGCTTTCAGAGAGGATAAAGACTGTGTCCTAAGTCGTCACAACATCCCTCTCTACAAACTTATACTACAGTATCTGCCTGCGAAAAGCTCATTGTTGACAGGAAAACGTGCTATGCTCTAACCAACACCTAACAGGTCCCTGGCCTCACTTTCTTGAAGTTATTTCACAAGTTTCCTGGGAAATACATAAAACATCTTTCCACAACAAATTGTGGAGGGGTTAACAGGACAAAGAAAGATTCCATCAAGTCCAACTTGGGAAATAAATGAGGAAAAGGCCAGTTTCCAAGACTCTGCAGGAAGACACAGTCCAAATAAACCAAGTACTTGAAGCTGTTTTTGCACTGAGACCACAATATAACTAAAAGCCAGAAAGAAGAATAAAAAAAAGCACTAGCATTTCTGTTTCCATCTTGTATCTTTCTCCTTTACTTTGGGTCATGTGGTCTATCTAGAACTGGCAGTATCTAGCCTACCTCATTCAGTCAAGAGAAGAGTAGCCTATGACATCTTACAGTCGGATTTTTAGAATGTCTTGTTCCAGACACCCCTAAAGAGTACCTAAAGGTACCCAATCATCCTAACCTTGGATCTCAGGTACAGTAGAGGTTCTAAGATCAGACTCTCCTTAGAGGAAAGCAATTATCCACCATGATGAAACTGCACCCAGGAAAGTAATCATCTACTAAGAACCAGTTTGTACCTTTAATGAATTTTATAGATCTAGAATTGACACAATGACCAACTAGACTACACCCCTTGATGAGGACTTAATATGACTACCTCTCCCCCCATTCTCCCAGTTCTTTCTCTATTTAAGGCTGATATTGTATCAATGCCCAGAAGATGAACTTGGACCCCTTTAGGTTTTCCTGCACATGGATTAAATCTCTTTTTCCCACCATTCCTTGTATCTCTGGCATATCGAGAAAGTTGGCCAACACCTAATTCTGTTTTTTTGGTTTTTTTTTAAGATGGCAGTGGCCAAAAAAAAAAAAAAAAAAAAAAAAACAAGGGCTGGAGAGAGAGCTTGGAGGTGAGGAGAGCCCCAGCTGCTCTACCAGAGGTCCTGAGGTTAATTCCCAGCAACCACATGGTGGCTCACAACCATCCGTTAATGAGATCTGGTGCCCTCTTCTGGTGTGCAGATATACATGGAAGCAGAATGTTGTATACGTAATAAATAAATAAAATCTTAAAAAAAAAAACGATGTTACAATTAGACAGCTGCTACATATACTGCTGTTCTCATCACACACCACCTGGCTGACTCTTTGTCCTTCCTCACTTAGTAATGGTGCCCATAGTTCACATGCCACATCTCGTTTTAAGAGTCAAAACAGTCAGATCACTGGGCACAAGCCAGAATGGTGCTGTGCTCCTTCTTCTAGTACTTACACAGTAAAATCTGCTCAGAGTCTTCAAAGGACACCCTACTGTATCTGCCTCTTAATAGCAACATTAGTAGGAATTCAAGAGAGAAAAGAGCCAAGGAATAAACTCCAACCCCCTGCACTTGACCACCCCAACAACTGGGAGAACAGGCAGAGGTGTGACGTATACAGAGGCCATGTGTCCCTGCTATGTACCCCAGTGGGCATGTGACACCAACGACACTCTAGGAGGTATATATAGTCTTTGAGCCAAAGGGACTTGGCCAGGGACTGATGTCTTTTTAGGCTCTTGACTTTTAAGTAATCAGCAGTACAACAGCAGCCACCATGAGAACCTGTAGCTCAGCAGTGAATCTCCTAGTGGTCTTAAGAGCTGCAGAGCCCAAGTCACCCACTCACACTGGGCACTGGAGGATTATGAGTTTGAACAGTCTTTTCCTGCCTGCACAGCCCCCACTGTAGTGTCTTCTGGGAACTACAGGGCACCAACACCCCTCCTGCATCAAAGGATTCTGGGTAACATTGCTCTGCATGATCTGACCAATTTTCACCCTGGGATCTGCAGGGTTCCAGGTGATGCTCACCCTGTTTGTCAAACCACATCTCATGCTTGTATTTAACCCAGGGCTCACAAGCACATGGTTGAAGTTCTCAATTTTTCTTGAACCTTCCTGGCAGTGCACCCTCTCCACCGACGCACCGAGACACACTGCCCTCAGGTACCACCCAGCAGCATCCTGGGTTTTGATTTTGAATTTTTTTGGTTGTTTTTATTTAATCCAAGGACTTTGCTTTATACAAAAAGTCATTGTAGAAACAAGAGCAGAATCCAAAGTTTGGTTTGTAAATATTATTCAGGCAGCAAACTAGTCAAGGGACTTGTTTTTTTTTTTTTTTTTTCAAAATAGAACCCA